AGTGAAAAAATAATATGTAATCTTAACAAAACATTTATCATACATCTCGAAACTAAGCATTACATCCCAGATAATCATATAAGCGGATTATGAACAAAATTAAGATAAATCAGAAAATTCTTGGATTTACAAAGTCCCAAAGGAAAGTACTTGGAATTCCACAGAAAATCGTACAGAGAAGCAAAGAATAATTTAAAAAGAAGCTAATTAAAAAAATTTAAAAAAAGAAAATGCTTATTTTCAAAGGACAAAGGAAAAAAGAGTCGCCTTATTCGCGTCGCAGCTAAGGCCATGACTGCTAAATATTTACAAGAGCAATTATTCCTCAGTATGCGTGATCTTGATTTTCGATCCTGCGCAAGTATTTAAACTGTAGAAAGTGAAAAAATAATATGTAATCTTAACAAAACATTTATCATACATCTCGAAACTAAGCATTATTTCCCGGATAATCATATAAGCGGATTATGAACAAGATTAAGATAAATCAGAAAATTCTTGGATTTGCAAAGTCCCAAAGGAAAGTATTTGGAATTCCACAGAAAATCGTATAGAGAAGCAAAGAATAATTTAAAAAGGAGCTAATTAAAAAAATTTAAAAAAAGAAAATGCTTATTTTCAAAGGACAAAGGAAAAAGGAGTCGCCTTATTCGCGACGCAGCTAAGGCCACGACTGCTAAATATTTACAAGGGCAATTATTCCTCAGTATGCGTGATCCTGATTTTCGATCCTGCGCGAGTATTTAAACTGTAGAAAGTGAAAAAATAATATGTAATCTTAACAAAACATTTATCATACATCTCGAAACTAAGCATTATTTCCCGGATAATCATATAAGCGGATTATGAACAAGATTAAGATAAATCAGAAAATTCTTGGATTTGCAAAGTCCCAAAGGAAAGTACTTGGAATTCCACAGAAAATCGTACAGAGAAGCAAAGAATAATTCAAAAAGGAGCTAATTAAAAAAATTTAAAAAAAGAAAATGCTTATTTTCAAAGGACAAAGGAAAAAGGAGAACGCCTTATTCGCGTCGCGGCTAAGGCCACGATCGCTTGAAATCCGCCACTGACACTTACATATCGTGAGCAACGGGTGGTCTTGACGTGTCCTTACGTGGGCGCCCTTCGTCCTACATATATGCTACGTGCACTTGACATCTCCCACTGCCGCGTTCTAACCTCAAATCCCATCGCACATATATAGACGCGCACATGCACGCGTCGTAAGGGAAGATAAGGAAGAGAAAGAGAGAGAAGGAGATAATAACAAACACTCACCCGTGCGTAGTCGCGTGTCCGCATTGACTATGCCGTCGCACACATACCGCCAGCTCGTCAGCATTTCACAGCGTCGGGAGATAAATCCGCGCGTACTCCAAGGAAACGTCACACGCACGCACGCACGCACACGAGCGCGCTCACACGCGCGCGCGTGCGACCAGCCGCCTCGGCTCGGGCCGCGACGCGCTCGGCCGCATGGGGGAGACGCGCGTTGTTCGAACGAGAGATGATCGACGTCTATGACGGTGATGACGGGAAAGTCAAATCGTAATTCGAATCGCCGCGTCCGCGCGCGCGATCCGCGGCGGCAAACTGTTGCGGAAAATCGCGAGCGCTCCTCACGAAGCTCTCGGCGCGTTGCTCGTCACAGGCGGGATACGTCCCGACTGGATGTAGAGACTGTCACCGTAAGACGCTTGCCTCGACGACGACCTTACGCGGATATTTATTATTAACTCTCCTCGGAGCCATAGGCGGGAAACGCGGTCGCCCGCTCACTCGTGTCGCCGGATCGCGCCTCGCGCCACTCGCCTCCTCCAGGGGGCAGCAGATATCAACGGAGATTGCGTTCGAAAGTCTACCGTCGAAATCAACTAGTGTTTGATTGACCAATCAAAATGAAGGTGACATTTCTCAGGCCAGTATTCATAATCTGGTCTTACATTTAAGATCATGTTAAGACTCATTCCACCAATCAATGGCTGCATTGTAGCTATTTGATTGGTTGAATGAGTTCTTAAGATGATTTTAAATATAAGACCGGACTATGAATACCGGCCTCAGTCTTCTCTCTGATGAAGAAATCTTGTATCCTGATTGGTCGATCGAACTCTAGTTATACATCGATTTTCGAACATAATCACGGGAACCAATGGCCGCATTCAGCGGACTCAACAGTTGGGCAACATTACTAGATTTTCCGATATAACTCGACGCTGATTGGTCGGACCTAAAAGTAGAAACCAATCATATTCGATTGCTACTTAGTGGTTGAGTCGCTGAATGCGGCCAATGGGAGTTGTGCTATGACGCAGATGTAAAGCGGCCTTTTCATTGACGCTATTTTTTAGCGTCAATGAAATTGTACCTTACAGTTGGCAGCCCTACGAGATAGGTTGTGCAGCACTGCGCGTATATAAAATAAATTTGAAATCGCTTCTAGCCTAACCATCTTCACGCGATCGACTTTATTTGAATTGCACGACATCGCATCGAATTATGATGCAGCGCCGATTTGTTCGAACGTAATTCGGGACATCGCGATGCTGTATAAGCGTCGAATGAGCACGAATTGTCACGCAAATATGATAAATCACATCTACTCACCGTTCACCGGCTGTTCCACAGGCCGCTCCACTCGCTCGCCTCGGGACGTCCCATTCCGATCTTGATGCACACGATATCATCAACGCGAACGCGCGACACTTTATTCGGCACTCCCGATATTCGCTCGCATCCGATAATCATCATCAAGGGCGCAAATAACGCGACGCGACTTCGCTCCATCTTCGCGATCGCGCTATCACTGAACTGTGAAAAATAGCTGTCGCGCACTTTCACCGACATATTATGAAAGTCGCGCGATCATCCTTGGACACTTTCAACGCTCTTTCACTCGCGATATTCGTTTAAAAACGGTTAAAAGACGCGAAAAATGCGGACGTACGACGATCCGTGTAACTGCGTATGACTCCGATTCACGAATGACGCGTATGACGTAGCAGTGACGCGTATGACGTGCGATCACGCGCTAACATGGCGGCCGAACCAGTACGCAGAAACGAATGCGCAGTGGTTCGGCCGCCATGTTAGCGCGTGATCGCACGTCATACGCGTCACTGCTACGTCATACGCGTCATTCGTGACTCGGAGTCATACGCAGTTACACGGATCGTCGTACGTCCGCATTTTTCGCGTCTTTTAACCGTTTTTAAATGAATATCGCGAGTGAAAGAGCGTTGAAAGTGTCCAAGGATGATCGCGCGACTTTCATAATATGTCGGTGAAAGTGCGCGACAGCTATTTTTCACAGTTCATTGATAGCGCGATCGCGAAGATGGAGCGAAGTCGCGTCGCGTTATTTGCGCCCTTGATGATGATTATCGGATGCGAGCGAATATCGGGAGTGCCGAATAAAGTGTCGCGCGTTCGCGTTGATGATATCGTGTGCATCAAGATCGGAATGGGGCGTCCCGAGGCGAGCGAGTGGAGCGGCTTGTGGAACAGCCGGTGAACGGTGAGTAGATGTGATTTATCATATTTGCGTGACAATTCGTGCTCATTCGACGCTTATACAGCATCGCGATGTCCCGAATTACGTTCGAACAAATCGGCGCCGCATCATAATTCGATACGATGCCGTGCAATTCAAATAAAGTCGATCGCGTGAAGATGGTTAGGCTAGAAGCGATTTCAAATTTATTTTATATACGCGCAGTGTTGCACAGTCTATCTCATAGGGCTGCCAACTGTTAAGGTGCAATTTCATTGACGCTAAAAAGTAACGTCAATGAAAAGGCCGCTTTAAGATGCAATTTCATTGACGCTAAAAAGTAGCGTCAACCATTGGTTAAACAATGAAGCAACTACTTACTTCTTTGTTCAACCAATGGTTGACGCTACTTTTTAGCGTCAATGAGGCCGCACCTTTAAGGTGCAATTTCATTGACGCTAAAAAGTAGCGTCAACCATTGATTGAACAAAGAAGTAAGTAGTTGTTTCATTGTTCAACCAATGGTTGACGCTACTTTTTAGCGTCAATGAAATTGCACCTTTAAGATGCGGCCTCATTGACGCTAAAAAGTAGCGTCAACCATTGGTTGAACAATGAAGCAACTATACTTACCTCCTTGTTCAACCAATGGTTGACGCTACTTTTTAGCGTCAATGAGGCCGCACCTTTACACATTGAAAAAGTTGAAACTGTTGAACTTTATTTTATTGACGCCAAATCTAAAGAAAGTCTAGTGATTTTAATTTGCCGCTGGTTTCTAGCGTCAATGAAATTGCACCTTAACCGTTAAAAATTTTAGAATGGAATTTCGAATAAAACTCGTGTTTTATTTTTTATTAAATAATAGTAAAAAAATCTAAATCTAAAAATAGATCGCGTGACGTTTTGTGTCTTTGTGGTTTTTGATCTGCATTAATAATGACAAAGATCCCAGGTAGCAAGATGACGTCTTTAAGACGTCTTTAGACGTCATCTTGCTACCTGGGATGTTTTGCGAGTAAAATATTCCATTTGCAAAAATGAATAATGAAACATGCTCTGGTAGAAATTATTATTACTTAATATAATAATATTTTAATTTACAGTTTAATTTCTCTTGATATCAAATGTTATGAAATTTTAGATAATTCTACCAAAAAATATCTCAATACATTTCTGTCAAAAGATAAAAATTTAATGGCATTGTTTAATCGAGCAGCCTATATACGCAATGATTTATTTATGTTTATAATTTCTATCCCATTTCCTAACAAATATAGAATCAAAAGTTACAATTAGAGATTTTGTCAATACAAGAAATTACGTTACGAATCTGTTTTCCGATGTATACTTCAAATATTAGCAGTTGATTGAAAAATCACTCATATATGTACTTTCATTCATTGTCATGTCAATTAAAACGAAACACAATAGTGAATCTATACTTTATGCGTGTATGATATACTTATACATATATGTTGTGTGCTAGCAGAAATCGAGCAGTATTTAAAAATGGCCGCGATATTGCGTTAGAAACCAGCTTGATTGCTGTCAAAATAAATACGTTACGATTGATATACGTCATTGCAACCGTCATGGTGAAATACGTCAATGGCCTATCTTATTTATAATCTCTCGATCAGGTCTGCCAAATATTTTGACGTAAGATTAGCCGGATGTGCCGCGATACGACATTGTTACGAGAATCGCGAACACGCACTTTTGTCGCTCTGATTTCATTCTGTTGGAAAAACATAAGATTTTGCTCGCGCCTCTTTTCTCGCATTTTTCTCAGGTAAATAGAATAGAGCTAGAAGCACTAGAAGACCATTTAACAAGATCAGTTGCGGTGGGGGTTAGCGTTCGTTACGAGAGTCGTGGAGTCGAATAGTGCATAGTTTTGTATTCGTTAACAAACGAGGGAAGAAAACAGCGATGTCACCCGGGATTAACGGTGGTGGTAGTCCCCGTAATACGGGCACCGTGCCGAAAAGCAATCGCAGGAACGATAGAAACCGAGAGCAGTCCGCTGTTAATCAGCAGCGCGCAAACCGCTTGACTTATCATGGCTACCAGCAGCACTTGAACAATGTGGTAAAATCATCAAGAGAGAAGACAACTTCTTTATTACTCTCTCTTTCTTTCTCTCTTTTTTTTTTATTTTATCATAGATGTACATATACAAAAATAATTAATTGTAAGAAGAAACATACAATGCATCTCTTGTTGTTATATATGACTTTCTTTAAATAATTTTTTTTTATTACTGATAAGTAAAAATTATTATTAAACTTTATTATTTTAAGAATTATTATATATTATTGTTTGTATTATTGTTATTGTAATATGATCACTTTCTTTTTTTGTAATTTGTATAAAATATTTATCAGTAGTGCTTTAGAAGCATATGTGAGTGAATAATTGTTAAGAAATAATTGTATAATGCATATAGATTAAAAGAGAGAAATCAGTTTAAAAATCCAAAAATATTTAGCAACATGAGATGCTTGAAACTTACTGACGGGGACATGCCATTAAGCTGCTTCTAGCAGTATCGAATTCAATCTATTAATAGACTATAGAGTAGTGGGGTGTTTCTTGCTCTAAGAATACTCGCAAAAGTGGATCCACATTGGTAACCAGTAGAGCTACAGGCATTGTTCTATTCATTCTACTTACGTTAATTTTATTTTTGCACTTGCATAAATATTTTATCTATGTAAAAAAAATTTCTATTAGTTTCAATTGGGTTGGCAAACAGTAAGTGAGCGTGGATGTGAACCAAGAGTATCGAGGACAACAAAGAACAGTAACACAAGATCAGCTTCCTCTCTACCTTCTTCTCTACCTTCTTCATATTTCACCACATATCAAGATTTATCTGATTTTGGTAAATGTAATATGTATATTTAAGTCTATCTATACATTCTTTTTATCACAGTAAACATTATTTCTAATTTCATCTGTTATCACAGCATCACATAGCTCAGCAAATCAGTGCAATTATAGTGCAGAAGAATACATACCTTGGCTAAAAATGGTACCACCTATTGATCCTAGAACTCAATCACCATCACAATTATCACAAGAAACTAAGCCTTCCAATGTAAACAAGATGGTACAGTAATTCTATTTTAATATCTTTTCTAAATGATGATTATTATCATTTTAATTTGATTATGATATTTCTTAAAGCCTGATAGAAATCAAGTAGAGAGCCGGTTAAATCAGATCAGGGATTATATTAAAGTTACTGCAACAATGATAGAATCTCTTAGTCGATCTTCCGATCTTGTAAGTATTATATGTGCAATAATAACATTGTGTATATGATATTTTTAATATTTTATGTTAGAATTATAATTTTATGTTTTGCTTAAATTGTTCTTCAATATCGTAATAATATTTTATAGCGCGCACAAGTCCAGAAGGAAAAATTAAATAGAATGGTGGAAGATCTTCAAGATAGTGAGACAAAGCTTTCGAAATTATTAGAGCAATATCAAAATCGCAGTGTTTGTGACGAGGTAATTAATATTTAATGGTTATTAAACATATATTATACTAAAACATTATATTAAAACATTGGCGAATTTTGTTTTTGTTTTAAATAAAATATTTTATTTTATACAGAATGGTGAAAACGGAACAGAAGATGTAGATGAACGTGGTGATGCTAATAGAGAGATGCGATTATTAAGAAATATGGAAGAATATCAGAATAAACTCACACAATTGCAAGAACAACAAGCTAACTTGATGGACATGCAGATACGTGTCAGAGAAAGATTGAATGAGGCGCGTCAAGCGCAACAAATGCTTTTGCAACAAGAGAATCAACAAGAGAATCAACAAGAGAATACATCTAATTTGGCTACGTGGGAAGGCAATCATGCACCTTTGCCCGATCCGATTAATGTCGAACAACTTGAATCGGAAACGGCAGCCCTAAGAGGGAAATTAGCACAACTTCAAAAAAAGAAGAATCATATGGATCAGCTTGTAACAGAATTACAAGCCATAGAGGCTTATGACAGAGGCACTGTTAGTTTTATTTTTAACATGATATAAATAACAATCACTTATACATCTCAAAATTTGCTCCATAATTTTTACATAATATGCAAACATTTTTTTTACTTAGTATAATTTTTACTTAGTATAATATTAATGAAAATTCTATTAGTTATTCTAAAAAAACTATGCATTTGTCTTTAATTCATATTTAACAAATAATAGAATTTGTTTATATTAATAATTCTGTGTAATATTTACTGAATATTTGAAAAGATATTTTATTAAACTGTATTATTTTCTTGATCTTACTGGCTTGTTATGTAGAATATTGCATCAAATTTATATTTGCGAAATGTATATTTATTTTTATGTTTTAGAAATAAGTTTTAATTATTATATTATCCAGGTTTCTGAAAGTGCAAGAAACACAAGAGATAAAGCCGCGGAATTAGAGGCAATGAAAGCGCAGCTCGCACATATAAAAGCTTTAATGGAAGATGGCACAAGAATTCGCGATTCTATGGATTCTACTTCCGAGTTTGAACAAGATATTGATGTGACCTGTGAAGGTGCAGCAGACAATGGAATTACGGAAGATATGACGAACATTTCATTTGAATGCCGAAGCGATAGCGACGACGTCGGTCATGGCAAAGTTCGAAATTCTGTGCCTACACTCGAAGATATACAAGTAATATATCAATCATAATATTTTTTATAATAAAATATATAAATTGAAACATTTCTCTTCTTTTTAGACCGTAACACGAGAACTTAAGGAACAGTCTGCGTTACTTCAAGCTACGCGGGCTGAAATACAACGTTTAAAACAACCATTATCTGGAGTTACCCATCCTGCTTCTTCGTCCTCCTTTTCATCTTCAAGTCCACCTCCAGCACTTATACCTGTAAATGCAAGTGAAAAGAAGCAGAGTAATAATGTTAGTACAGAGACTCAACCCATGCAAGTTAAAAGACGTCAACTGGAAGATTTGATAAAAAAGGTCCGAATCATATTTTTTACACGTTATTTTTTTTGTTTTTACATAATTACAATTATACAACTCCTTTAAAAAAAATAGGAGCAAACGCAACCGTCTAATGCGAATCGAGATGTCCAAGTGCCAGATCACAATAGTCAAAGAAGTTCGGGTTCGCAAGCTAGTCATACCAGTACGCCTGCAAATATCTGGCCACCTACTACATCTGCCACAGGTAAATATTATTACTATATGTTATAATAATATTAAATAATGAAAATTTATGCATGTTTTTTGTAGGTGGAGGAGGTTCTAATGAGCAAAGTGTGGATGGCATATCTACGTCAGACAATTTATTAGATATTGGTCCACAAATCACTGCGATTGAGAATGGTGGATTTAACAATAATTGGTCTACTTGTCCTGTACCACCTGCGTCTATTGTCAATCAAGGACAACATGGTAAGATATCAAATCAAGAACAATATTTTAAAACTTTAAAGGATTAAAGAAAGAAATGTTAAAATATGTTTTTTATTGTAGCTTCAGTTGAATATTATCGGCAATTATTATTAGGTTCGCAAGCTCAACAATTGCAAATGATGGGTACGACAGTACAACAGTGCTGTCAGCTTCTGTGGGCACAACAACGTGAGTTACAATCCATGCGTGCCGCTATTTCTCAACTGCAACTACAAATGAGATCGCAAAATGAGGCACCGCAACGCATCAACAATGCCGAAAGTCAGGAGGAATACTCTAATCTAAGCCGGAGCGTTCACAATCTCGGTGATACGTTGGATACAACTTTGCCTCCTAGTTCGTCTTTACCAAATCTTGTGTCACTACCTAATTCTTCAACAGCATTATCACATACTCCGATAGTTACTTCTAACTCACAGCAACAACAGCAGCAACAATTGAATAATCAAGTACCTCCTGGTAATAGAGCAAACAACTACTGGGACAATTTTCGAAGGTAAAAAAATTGATTTACATGTCAATATATGAGTATATACATCTCGTCTTTTCTAAAATGTTATAAAAGTGTAGTTAGATTTGTGAAAATTATATTTTGCATTATAAATTGCATATTTACTCTTTTACTTTCATAATTAAGTTTTTATTTACTTGAGTATAAAAAAATTTTTCTTAAAAATCTTTCTCTATTATATTTGGTTTTGAATATGATTGCCATAATAAAGAAAAATGAACATGAAATTAATTAAATTTTAATAATAAGGAGCAGACAACCATTCGACAACCATTATTTAACTATAGAAATAATTTAATCAGAAATTTGTACTCTATATTACTCCATATTTGTCATATTCCATAATATTTCGTAATTTGATCAGATTAGTCGCACGTTTTTGTTTCCTGTATATGTTTTTCTGTAAATCTAATGTATTACATTTAATAATAAACATCACAATTTTTGTCTTTGTCATTTTCCGTCTTATACTTTTCAACTATCATTACCTTTATTTAAAACTGAGATATTTAAGCATATATAGCCTATATTATAGTTAAATAATCCTATGTGGTTAATACAAACAAAAAACTAAATAAGGAAAATATTTGTTGGTAGGTAATATATATAGGTACGTAAACAAACTTTTCATGATTGGATAGAACATGTCATCAATCTAAAATTTTTTGATAACTAACAGTTATCTGCATGCAGCGTGATAATAATTATCCTAACATTTTTTGTGATTTACTTGCAGTTTTAAACACAATACTCTTCTCTACCATTTTAATTTAAAATTTTATTTTTCTGTAACAGATAATTTGTTTTATGTATCAATATAAATTTTTTAAATATAAATTTTGATATTTTTACATAAAATTAAAATTTTAAATTAAATAAATTGTCTTAACCATATCTCTTTTTATTTTCAGTTATTCTCGGCAAAATCTGCTCTCAGGGAATGTAAAGACAATGACTGATTCTCCAGTAGTTACAGCAAATTCGGCGTGTTCTGCAAACACAACTAATACAAGCGGAAGTAGCATCAATAGTTCACTAATGTATGGCATATAAAAATTATTAAAGCAATATCAACATATGTTCTTTATATATTTTTTAATTTTTTATATTTAAGAAAAGACAAGCGGAATAGAGAACAAGGAGCTGATAATTTACCTTTACCGTTAATCAGTGCAGAGGCACAATATTCATTAAACCTTCAATTACCATCAAATTTACAACAGCAAGACAGGGAAAACACTACTAGTCGTAATAATATCATAACAAACGAGATGTCTCAACAAGTGGATAATCTTTGGGAAGAAGCTCATAGTTCTTTTCGATTAGCATCTACAACAAATGATGATAATATCTTTAATAATCTCAGGTTTGAATCTTTCTTCCAAGATTTATTATCATTATTAAAATCTATTAACAGTAAAAATCAATACTATATATATAATTTTTGTTATTATACAAAAATATATATATTAAATTTGAACAATTTATTATATGAACAGTGCAGAGATGAAAGAAGCAATTAGTTCGCTCATCGCAGTAAATAAAAAACGACCAGATTTTCTAATAATTGTTTTGAGAGAAATTAAGACTATTAGTGAAGATCATAGATTGCGATCTCACTTATTCAGATCACTTGCAAAGATTACTACTTTACAGAATACACAAACATTAAATAATCCACTGGTTAGTATATGCATTTATTATAATGCAGATAAATAAGTGTATTAGAATTCTAAGTGTGAAATAATATAATATAAGTTTACAATTCTGTAGTTATTAATGAAAATTTTATGTAGAATGAGGCACCTGACTTAACTCCAAGCGAAAGTTGTCAATCTAGTGATGAGGACTCAGATGTTGGTGCAATTTTGGGTTTTGGTTTGGAAAATCAATCGTCTATGACTGAATTGGTTTCGACATCTCATGTAGACACTGCCTCTTCTCCAGCTTCGTCTCAAGTACCATTAATAGACCATTTGGAAATATCGGTAAATAATACAAAATAAATGCAAAATCCTCTATTATATAATATACATAAGAAATTCCAATCTAAATTATAATTTAACATTATTAGGGAACATTCTCACTTGACTGTGCAAGTACTCTCCCTTCCACTTCTAATACTAAGCCTGGTTATAATGAAGACTTGGCAGAGGCTGATCAATCTAGACCTGACTCTTCAGGGAATCAAAAAGTATTACATCTTCTTTTTTTTAATTTTTCGAGATTAAATGAATGACATAAATCAATATTAAACATATTATTTCAGTCTTCTGTTGGCGATAATAATGAAAAAGAACAAGAAGAAGCAGCATCTTTACCGATGGGTGCGGAAGCAGTTACCCCTGATTTTGAAAGTCTTGCTGCTAAAACTGAAGATGAAAGAGCAGATGATACTGAACTTGATATATTTCTTACTAGATTACATTATTAATTTTGATATATTTGCATAAAATAATTATTTAAAATTATTTTTTTCAATAATAGCAATAATAGAAAAAAGCATATAACAAGATGTATCTTGATCTTAATAAGATTGGTTTATTATTTCCAACTACTTCTTCCGATTAAGAAAACTTCTACTAAATAATTGAAATTGATAAGATAGCACAATAGTTATTAAAAATTAAGAACTTTATATATACTAAATATAAATTAAGAAAACACTCGACAATTTGTTTAATTGATAAACTTGATCGAGGCATGTAACAACATAAATTTAAATAGATTCAATTGTTTAAGTAATGATAAAGAACATTGCCACTATACAAACTACAGCAAATCTAAGTTATATTGTATTTTGTGTTATTATATCTTGGCAAATTTAATTTAGTAAAATTTAAAAAGTATAAAGTTTGTAGATACAATATGCAATTATAATTATAGTATATTCGTCAATGTGTATATACCATGCACATAAATCAATGTATATACACATTGAACGAATTTTATTATAATTTACATTATAAATCATTTTTATATATATACAATAATACTGTAATTATAATTGTGTGTTATATCTATTTAAATCAAAGAAGACTGTTGGAAAATGAAAGAAATTGGCTAGATTTTACAGAGAATGAAAGATAACTGATTTTTTTGGAAAATAATTTGATCTTATCTTTAACTGCAAGAATAAAATCAAGAAACATATTATATATAAGAAATATATATAAAGTATATATAAAAAAATTAATACATGAAGAAATTAATGGATATTTGATATAATATTAAAATAAATTTTGAAATAAAATATATCAAACAATATTTTTAAAGCTGACATTAGCAAAGTTATTATAGATTATGCTTTGCCATCTTGCTTGATTTGTATTGATTTTTAAAATATCTGTATATTTATGAATTATAAAATATTAGAAAATATAATTATACAATGAAAATATTGAACATATACAAAGAAAATTAATCGAGACATTTACAATCGCAACGAAAAAATTAACTGTTTGAAAATATAATTTTTCCTCTATATATTTATATTAGATATTCTTACTCTATATTAGATATATTAGATATTCCAACAACAAATCTACATTCTATAATCTACTTTTGATAATTTGAGGTTTTAATTATTATTTTATTATTGATAAAGATTTTCGGCATCATGAGTAATTGTATAAGTTAAAATAAAGATAATATCTGTTTAACTCATAGTCGTAATGTATTGCGCTATTTTCTTAGATTAATTAGAACAGTATGTAATCAATTTTTTTTAGGCTTGATTCATCTCATACGATTGCAAACTGGAGGCTGTAGAGTTAATATGGAAAATTATAATAATTATCATGACTTTTTTACACTTGCTTACTATATTTTCTTTATAGAAATATTATTACATTTTTTAAAATAGAAATATCTAGTTGATAATCCTCGCCAGAGCATAGGCGGTAAATGGAATTACAGTAAGCTGTGATAAGATTATTGGATGAGATGAATCAAATGTGGCCGCGCGTTTCGCGGCATTATTTGCTCCTTTTGTTCTATTCGCGTCTCTAATCCCGATGTACGACTCCATTTTGAATCCTCTTGTGCGAGTATAGACCATTTTTTTTTTCTGGAATCGAATTGTTAAAAGTGATCCAGGAAATGTTTTCGAAATATGTCAGGAGGCTGTACCGCTTTAATACAGACATCGTTAAGTGCGGTGTACATAAATGCTCGACAATTTCAGACATAACGTCGAAAGAGGCGATTGGAAATCGTACAAAAGTACAGGTTAGACGTGCTCTAACTCTAATATGATGCTTCGCATCCTAAATGAAACGTTCAAAGAATGTCTAAAGAATATCCTAAAAATTAGTTTTATATCTTCCAAATATCTTTGATATGATATGTTTGAACATGATACTTCACAGATCTTATTCTAATCAATATATGCAAAGAAAAAATCTGACTCTTATATGTGTTTACAGAGATTTTGATATTTTATTGAGATTAGATATTGTATTGTTAGTTCACAAGTTACAGTAAGGATTGACAACAACGATTGCTTTCAAGTGTTGTTTTTCTTTTTTAACTCGCTTATAATTTAGATAAGTTCTAGATTAGACTGTTTAAACTTTTACACAAAATATGTATTGATCTTCATGCTTAGGGATGGGTACGCGCAGTCCGAAAGATGAAGGATAACATCTTTGTTGACATTTCTGATGGATCGAGCTGCGAAATGTTACAAGTTGTTATACCAAAGATCGTGAATTACGATAATGTAAGTTATGGATGTAGTATCAGCGCGGAAGGAGAATTAGCCTTAGCTCCCAGCGGTAAAACCGAATTACGCGCGACTAATATTCACGTAATCGGTACGTGTAATGTCACAGAAGATCAATATCCTTTTGCACCGAGAAAGAAATATGATCAAGATTATGTCAGACAGTATTTACACTTGAGACCAAGAACACGTCGTTTCTCTAGTTTATTGAGGCTACGTGATCTTGCCACTATGGTAATTAATGATCATTTAAGAGATAGGGGATTTATAAGTGTACACACACCAATTCTGACATCCAATGATTGTGAAGGTGCGGGTGAAGTGTTTACTGTTAGACCACATTCAAAAGAAATTTTAAAAGATATGAGAAAAGAAGGTCAATCAGAAGATGAGATTTATTTTAATACAAGTGCTTTTCTTACTGTTTCCGGACAATTGCATTTAGAAGTTGTAGCAAGGTGATTAAATTCTAACGTATATCAATATTTCATTAATGTTATATGTTTTTGTACAATTATGTTAAATTATGGAATAATGTATTGCTAGAACTTTTTCAGAGCTCTCACGAAAGTGTACACTTTTGGACCTACATTTAGAGCAGAAAATTCTAAGTCGAGATTACATTTGTCAGAATTTTATATGCTAGAAGGAGAAATAGCTTTCATTACATATATTGAAGAATTGATAGAGGAAATTGAGCTTTTAGTAAAAGAAGTTACTAAGCAAATTATTGAAAAAGGAGCCTCAGATTTATATTCAATTGGTGCCCCTGATCTACGATGGGTGAATAAAACATTTGGATGTTTAACATATGAAGAGGCATTTAATATATTAAATAATCACGCGAATCAGTTGCAACAACCCATTAAATATGGAGAAGCATTTTCGAAAGAGCACGAATTATTTTTAGTAAAATATAATGACGGAATACCAATATTTGTTATAAACTGGCCAAGAGCCATTAAACCATTTTATATGAAAGAATGTACAGATGATTCATCTAAGGTGAGCCGATAAAAACAAATAATATGCAACTTTTACAGGAAACATATATATTTTTCTTGAATAAAAATATCTATTTTATATGCATTTTCTTATAAAAGGTAGCAGCATTGGACTTGTTAGCACCGGATGTAGGTGAAATGATAGGAGGCAGTATACGTGAGGATAATTATCAAAAATTAAAGTTAAAACTACCTTCTATGGGGAATCTTTCATGGTATTTAGAATTACGTAAATATGGGAATGTACCAACAGGTGGTTTCGGAATGGGATTTGAAAGATTTTTGCAATGCATTTTGGGAATTAATAACATCAAGGACACTGTGCCTTTTCCCAGATGGCCGCACAATTGCAATTTATGAATAAAGATTTCAGGGCTGTTGTGTTTTATTTAATTTATCCTAAATGAAAACAAATTTAGCTGTATATTGATACAGCATATTTATGCAATAATCTTTTGGGTGGAAAAACAATGTCGCATATATTTATAAAAGTTTTCTTTTTTTTTTAAATTCTTAAAGATTTTACAATTTTACTAAAATAATCACTTGAAATAATGTAATTGAGAATAGTCAAATTATCTTTAATATCTAAATGAGTGAAAGGTAAAATTACAATCAATAACAATGGTTTAATCTTGAATGCAGTTTATTGAATATGAAGATACAACAAAGGATTAACTTTTTATTAATGTCTTTATTTAAAGTGTTTTTATGAATTCAAATTTCAGACCCTAAATATAATTTTGAAACTAAATATAAAGGATATTGATTAGAAAGGTTAATTAAAAAGGAAGTCAAACCTGTAGTAAATAAGTCTTCTTTATACAACAAAATATTTTCTAATAGTAATCGTAGTCATTTTCCTTATCCAATATCGTCGTCATTGTTTTTCCATTGGTGATTTATGTGTATATTTTACAACTCATATATATCACATTATTTGTACATTTTAAAATGAATCAGGCAATGTCGTTATCCCGTATAATGAACTTATTGGATGTATTCGTTTTTAAAGGTTTGTCGTGTTTCGTACAAGTACAAATAGTACTTGAAATTTCCAGAATGAGTGCAAATCATCATCAAACTTTTACACAAGTACAAATAGTATACTTGAAGTGAGCATAAATTATCAAATTTGCAATAATTTCATCTATCACAAAACACGATTTCACTTAAAAATACATTCACTCGCGCGGGAATGCTCTACTATATCTTTCTAAATTACATAAAATATATACAGTTCTGCGCTTTTTTTTCTTTTTGCATTCATCAAAATGTTAATACTTAAGGTACTCATACATACTTGCACGCATTTTACATATTTTTACCTTGTACGACGTAATGTTCAATCCAGTATTAATTATACAAAAGCAAAGAATCTTTTATTGTACATAAAATCTATGTAATAGTTTTAAATTAATTCGCTAAGTTAATTTAAACTTATTATACAGATTAATTCATTAATAAATTTAGAAAGAATAACAATGATATCAATACGATAATATGCTGCTATTTTGTCTTTATAAAATGTTCTAAAATTTTACAAAGACAAAATATCAAAATATTAAACAAAGTGAAAAAGCATTGTTGTAAAGATGATATTATCATGTCGTACAAGTTACACAAAATTGATATACAAGGTATAAATAAGCTTAGAAATAGATCTTGTCTAATTGTAAATCTAGCACTTTATACACTTGTATCATTTGAATTCATAGAAACTTGATGAAAATTTGTACA